CGCCTGGCTCTGAGCGCGCCGCGGGGGGGAGCCAGCTTTTGAGATGTAGGGGCGGGACGGAACTCTTCCCGTCCCTTCTGCACCTCCTGATCGTTGTCTTCCTCATCCTCCTCCTCCTCCACCTCCTCCTCCGACTCCTCCTCCTCCACAATTACTCAATATGAATACTACTCTCCCTCTTCCCCTGATGGCGTGCTGTGAATATTCAACCCCCCCCACACGTACTGATTTTTTACACACAGGATTCCCGGGAATTGGGTTTTCGCCTGCGTTTTTTTTCAAAATGCTGCTCTCGCTGAGGCGCCGGCCTCATTTCTGCTCCCGAATCGTTCCGAATCGTGCTCCCGCTGCAGCGTGGGCCTCATTTTCGGATCGGTGTTTCGCATCCGTCGTTCAGGATAGCGTTCTCGCCCCAGCGCGGGCCTCTTTCTCGCGCGCCCATCCGCCCGCCACCACCGCGCCACACCACGCCCCGCCCCGCCGCACGCACACCCACCGCCACTTCCACCCACCAACGCACGCACGCACGCACGCGCACCACCACCGCGCACCGCCACCACCACCGCACTACCACACCCACCACCACCACGCTACACCGCGTCACACCACATCACACGCGCGCACACACAGACACACACGCACGCACGCACGCACGCACGCACGCACGCACGCACGCACGCACGCACGCACGCACGCACGCACGCACACACACACACACACACACATACACACGCACACACACACACACACACACACACGCACACACACACACAGACACACACACACACACACACACACCACCACCGCCACCACCACCACCGCCATCACGCACGTACGCACCTGGCCCACCACCAAACCACCAAGACGCCACACCACGTCACACCACAGCACACGCGCACACACGCACACACACACACACACATACACCACCACCACAACAACCACAACCACGCACACACGCACGCACGCACGCGCACCACCACCCACTACGCACACGCGCGCGGAGCCACAGGTCCGCTACGACACGCGTCCGCGGAGAGGGGTAGGATGTCAGATGTTGACGCGAGTGCACCTAACTTGTCCTCCCTCCCTCCCTCCCTCCTCCCTCCCCCTCCTACTCCCCCTCCCCCTCCCCTCCCCCTCCTCCTCCTCCTCCTCCTCCTCCTCCCTCCTGCTTCCCCCTCCTCCCTCCCTCCCTCCCTCCTTCTCCCTCCTCCATCCTCCCTCCATTCCTTTCCTTATGAATAACTCCTGCATGTCGCACCCCGAGGCCAGCTTTTAAGGCGGGCCGGGCGTTTCGCCTAAGACTTCCTCACCATTTATGACTCTGAAGCTTTCAAAGTTGTAACAGGTTCACAGATGGAGGGCGGGTGGTTTTCAAAAAAGTGACTCTCGCCTGAGCGCCGCGCACATTCGTTTTGAAAAATTGCAAGAATTTCACGGGTTGAGGGCGGGTCGTTTTCAAAATGTGGCTCTCGCTTCAGCGCCGCGCACACTCTTTATCAATGCAATAGCTTCACGGATTGAGGGCGGGTCGTTTTCGAAATGTGGCTGTCGCCTTAGCGCGGCGCACATTCGTTTTAACAATTACCAGAATTTCACGGATTGAGGGCGGATCGTTTTCAAAATGTGGCTCTCGCTTCAGCGCGGAGCACATTCGTTAACCAAAAAATTGCAAGAGCTTCACGGATTGAGGGCGGCTCCTTCCAAAATGTGGCTCTCGCCTTAGCGCGGCGCACATTCGTTTCAAAAAATGCAAAAGTTTCACGGGATCCCATCATCAACGTGCCAGAAATGGTGCTTCTTAATCATATTCAGGATTATGCGGGTGCGACAGTTATGTTGGGTCGCTGTGTTGAAGTCCCAAGAATGGCATTCTGGCAATTTAGGATCGTCAAGGCGCCACAGTCAGGTTGATCCGTGGCGTTGGAATCCCGAGAACAATGTGTAGGCATGTTCTGGGTCTTCAAACGGTTGTCTTGCAAAGAGGCAATTCCTTCAATGGATATGAACCAATGTAGGGGCCAATGGAGAGGGAGCTTGGAGGGAGGGCTTCTTCCAACATCGTGGATGACTCTTGGGTCTACACTGATCCCTCCTCCCTCCTCCCTCCTCCTCCCTCCTCACTCCTCCCTCGTCCCTCTTCATCCTCCTCCTCATCCTCCTCCCTCCTCCCTCCTCCCTCCTCCCCCCTCCTCCCCCAACCCCTGCCCTATCCCCTTCTCCCTATCCTTCCCCCCTCCCCCTCTCCCCTCCCACTCCCCCTCCCACTCCCCCTGCCGCTCCTCCAGCCTCTCTCTCCCCCTCCCCCTCCTCCTCCCTCCCCCTCCCCCTACCCCTCCCCCTACCCTCCCCCTCCCCCTCCCCCTGCCCCCTCCTCCAGCTCTCTCCTCCTCCTCCTCCCCCTCCTCATCCTCCTCCTCCTCCTCCTCCGACTCCTCCTCCTGCTCCGACTCCTCCTCCTCCGCCTCCTCCTCCTCTTCCTCCTCCTCCTCCTCCTCCTCCTCCTCCTCCTCCTCCTCGTCCTTGGCGCGCCACGTCTCCGCCGTCATCGTCGTCGGCGACGTCGTCGCGGAGCGCGCTGCTCTTCTCGGAGCTTGTTCCCAATACGCAGTGACCACCCACTCTGGCCAATGGGGTCCTCCACCCCTCTCGGCACGCAACTCGTGAGGACCCTGCCCCCCACAGGGAGCCCCAGCTGCGGCCCCGGCAGGAGAGGTGCAAGGCACGCTGATCGTTAGAGTACCGGTATGGGTGCCTGCTAGGCACTGCGCTGAGGAGGAGGAGGAGGAGGAGGAGGAGGAGGAGGAGGTCCGCCTGGCTGCCCGACCGTCGGTCTGTCCGTTTGCCCGTCTGCAGCGGCAGAGCCTCTCGGCTCTGGGACGCGTCGGCCCTCGCAGGCCTCTCCCCCGTCGGTGGCCCTGCCGGGGTTGCGGGCAGGGGCGCCCAGGCGCGCCCCCGCTCAGCGATCCCGCGCCGCCAGCATCGGGCAGCCCGTGCTGCTGGGCGGCGAGAAAAAGGAGAGCAAGGAGGAGGAGGAGGAGGAGGAGGAGGAGGAGGAAAGAGGAGGAGGAGGAGGAGGAGGAGGAGGAGGAGGGGCGGAAAGAGGAGGAGGAGGAGGAGGAGGCGGAAAGAGGAGGAGGAGGAGGAGGAGGAGGAGGAAAGAGAGGAGGAGGAGGAGGAGGAGGAGGAGGAGAGGAAAGAGGAGGGAGGAGGACGACGACGACGGCGACATGGAGCAAGGACGGCGGAAAACGGTAGAGGGTAGAATAGGGTATGCGCTAGGGGGCGAGTCCCGACGTGCCTGGACGATCGAGCGCTTGGATGCCCCCTGCGAGCCAGCCGAGGAGGATGGCGAAAACGACGAGGGGCAAGCAGGAGGACGAGAGCAGGACGAGGGGAAGGACGAGAAGAACAGGGGTAGGGGAGGACGAGGACAGAGGAGGAGGAGGAGGAGGAGGAGGAGGAGGAGGAGGAGGAGGAGGAGGCCACTAGCCGCCGTGAAGGCAGCGGGTGCGCGTCGGGGGCACACCGAAGGCCCAAGGCCGCCGCACGCCTCGGCTGGCCCTCCCTGCCGTCCTGCGCCGAACCTGACGGGCATGCTCAGTAGACGTGGACCTTCTGGTCGGTGCAGAAGGTGTGCCGCTCTCGTGCCACTCCTCCCGCACCCTCCCGCCCGAAAGTGGTACGCTCCTCCCACCTTCCTGCACCCTGCTCGGCCAGTTCGAGCACGGCTTACAACGGTGCGCTCGATGAACGGGCAGGCCGGAGGATACCCCTAACTATCTCGTCGTGGCCGACGATGTTCACGCAGAGCTCCAAAGGGCATGTAATCTCCGACGGCGTCGAAGAGCAGTCAGCATCATCAGCACCACCAGTGGTTAACGTACAACCCGTCTCGATGGCGCTGATGCCGGACGGATCCTGAGCGAACTCAGGTCCTGTCCCCCGGAGCGCCCCCGACGGCTGGTTCTTCGTGCTGGGCCGTTCTCTGACGGCCCTGGGGGCCACCATGGGCCCCCAGGGCCCAGAAAGGGGCGCGGCCGCCGACGAGGGGGGGGGGGCCAAGCAGAGAGGGGGGTGCGCATCGTGGCCAGCGGCGCGTGCGCGGACAAGGGGGGTCGGGCCGGGCGAAAGGGGGGGATAGCAGAGAAGGGGTTTGAGAATCAGCTCACGTGGCTGACTCTCCCGGCGCCACGAGGCTACATGCTTTCGTAACCCCCTCTTTCCCTATCCCCCCCTTTCGTTCGGCCCGAGGGGGGGGGGGGCAGGGGACGTGCTGAAGGACGAAGAACGAAGCAGCCACCGCCAGACGCACAAGGGCAAGGCACAGAGGGGCGGCGCGCCAGAGGCGTGAACGAGCAGACGATTACACGCCAAACGCGTGCCCAGATAGCCTGCACGCGCCACATGCGCGCCTAGAGGACGCAAGAAGGAGGAGACGGAGGAGGAGGAGGAAGAGGCGGAGGAGGAAGAGGAGTGAACCAGAACATTTCTGCGGGATTTCATGGCCCGGGACATTATGTGTGACCCCCGTCTCCACAGGCTCCCGAACCCCCCCGCCGGCCACGCCTCCGGCCGCAACTCGGCGTGCTCGGCGCGCGGGGCCGCCGCCCACAGCCCCACCTGGCGCGGCGCGCGGGGGCGCGCCCGACGCCCGCGGCGGCGCGCCGCCTCCGCCACCGCCGCCGCCAGGCAAGCCTGAGCCTCCAACGCTCCATAGTTCCAGGACGACCAGCGGCCCTACCTCCTCCAGATCCTCCTCCTCCTCCTCGTATTCTTCCTCTTCTCATGCTTCATGTTCTTCTGAGTCTTACTGTTACGAATTATTTCTTACTTGTATGATCGTAACACTACTACAACTACTACCACCACCACCACCACCACG